ATACATTAGCATCTATATATAATACAATAGTCAACAATTTAAAGAATCTTTAAACTCTAAGAGATTGTGTTGGATAAAAGCAATCATTCAAGATTCCTTTAGAATCACTTCTTTCAAAAATGTAACTTCCAGTGAAATGTAGGGGACAAATGCAGATCTACGCTCCTTCCCACAAAATGATTATGTATTTGTGTGTGTGTGTGTTTATATAAATATATATGAGAGAAAAATTTTTAGAAGTGTAGGCCCCACATGAATAAATAATAGAATCTCTAGGGAAAAACTGATATATCCTGTAAAACACCAGAAGGCCTTGGAATTTGGAAACCTTAGTTAACAGTCATGATCAGAATGCTTTATAGGAGAACAAGGTTATGGCTTTAAAGCCCCTCAAATACCCTCAGGCCACATTGCAAAGGATTGTTCTCTGGAAGAATGATCTGGAGACAGTGGAAATGTGTGAGACCAAGTTGGAGGTAATCATAGGGCTGGACTCATGTAGATTTGAGGAAGTCTAAGAACTTCACTCATGGTGAAGGGACACCAGTCCACTCAAGCATGTGGCTCTGTCAGGCTCTGTCCCGATTCCCTCTGCCTTACTAAAAACCATTAGATTACATTCCTAAAGCTAGCAATCAACGTCTATTCCTTTATTTGTCCACTGCATCCTCCTGAGGCTGAATACAATGTCCAGCAATCAAAAGCCCTGACCTAGTGAGACCACGGAGACCCTAGTCGTAAAGCTGTCATTAACCTTATTAAGTATTTCCTTACCTGGAAAATGGTAATGGGTAACTAAGTTGTTGTAATTATTACATAAGATAATAATATAATTAAGGAAGTTAGTTTAAATCCAACATGTGGTACATTCTCAATAAACAGCAGGTAGTATCAGTGTGGAGCACTGTAGATGGAGGCTTCTGTCTCGCCTGGTCCTGCAGTCATTTAGTCCCAAATAAACACACAGAAGTTTATAGTAATTATAAACTGGCCAATATCTTAGGCTTCTTATTGTCTAGCTCTCTCTTAATTATTAACCCATTTCTATTAATCTATGTATCTCCATGTAGTCTTGGCTTACCAGAGAATGACGGGCCTCTTTCTTCCTTAGAAGCTACATGGTGTCTCTCTTCTAACTCACTCCCTGTGTTCCTCTTCCCAGCCTTCTTCTAGTCTGGTAGCCTCACCTATACTTCCTGCCTGGCTACATCCTGCCTGTACATTGGCTGAAACCGCTTTATTGATCAACCAATAAGAGAAACATATTCACAGCATACAGAAGGACATCCCCAGACAGAGCACCTTCTGACTTCCTTTTTGAAAGATTCAGGGTGAAAACTACCATCAAATGTAAATTTCTATAAACTGACTCGATTATTTTCTAACAAAATACTACAGAAGTATAACTTATATTCATCAGTAAGTCACACAATCATGTTTGTGAACATCCCTCCATGTCCAATACAGTATTAAAGAATAGGCTCTAGAATCAGACAAAAATGACTATTTCTGGCTCTACCAATTACTAACATGGTCTTACCAAGTCCCAGAAGTATCTTTCAGCTGTGCAGTGATAATATTAACTATCTGCATGATTGGTATGAAGATTGTCTCTAATGCAGGCAAGGCTCTAATAGAGAACTTTGGACAGAATGTGAGTCAACAAACAGATGCTATTTTCATTATGATTACTAGTCAAAAATCATTAACAATTGCCTATTGAAAATGTGCTCAATTTGGGGATAAGTATGCTCTGGGATAGTTTTCGTATACATCAGATGTCATAGGGATTTAATTGCCTCTTATCCATGTCCTAATTCCATTTGCCTCCAAAACAGTTTTAATATCAACACAATGCACTAAGTGATAAGCTATGCTTTCCTTTTTCTCAAGACGTTTGCTGACACTTTTGTCAAACTGCAGTGTACATGGTATGCAATATTTTAGATAACTTTAATTATGAATCCTTTTTTTCAGACAGTGTTTCATATAGCCCAAGCCAGTGTTTCTCAATCTTCCTAATGCTGCAACCCTTTAATACAGTCCCTCATGTTATGGTGACCACCAATCATAAAATTTCTTTGATTCTTCATAACTGTGATTTTGCTACTGTCATGAATCATAATGTAAATATCTGTGTTTTCTGATGGTCTCAGGCAACCCCTGTGAAAGAGCATTTGAACCCCCTCAAAGGGGTCACAACCCACAGGTTGAGAACCACTAGCCTATGTAGCCAAAAATAACATGAAACTTCTGATCCCTGTCTCTATCTCCTAGATACTGGGATTATAGGCATTCACTACCAGAGCCAATTTATGCGCTGTTGGGGATTGAACCCAGGAGGACTTCATGCATGTTAGCAAGCATTCTGTCAACATCTCTGGCCACCAAATTGGGGACTTTTACCTGACTGGTTATTTCTCTGTGAAAACAGAATTTCTATTCAGAATTTATTAGAAAACAACTTTGTGACCTATACATAAACAATCACCTGCCTTTGTAAGACACATTCAGGGTAGGAATCATAAAATCAAAATAGGCTGAATAGCATTTTTCATCTCAAATAGATAAGTGAAAATTATTTTACATAAGTTTTCTTAAAGTATTAGAAAATACTATACTCTTCCAGCAATATTTTACTTCATAGTATATTTTCCTTTCTCAATGGGATATGCTCTAAAAGCTTAGAATATAGCTATGAATCTATGGCTTAGCCGGATTCTTATATTGAGTTACCGTCTTAATTGATCCAATTAACAAGACAAAGTATGTGTTCAAATTAAACATGTATCTAAAGCATTTAGGAATGATTAAAATTATAGATCAGGCTTTCTTTCTCTGATCAGAAGTTACTATAATGTGTCTGTGGTGCTCAGTTCCCTGCTCACTTTGGTATGTTAGTAAAACATGGCATTATCAGATCACAGGGAGTACCTCAATTTCCTTTACATATATCCAATTCTAAAGGGGATTACATTATCCAATTACGCTGTTAATTAAAAGGACCCCTACAGAAGAAACTTCGGGCTACCAGGAGCATTTTCAATTTTCATTGTGCTGTGTTCAAAAGCAATTTTGCAAATTCAGAAGAGTTCAAAGTTACTGCCCCAGATTTCAATTCCAAAGGTACCTGATAGCAGCTGAGAACCCAACCCACTTCCTCTTCTCTCTGGGCACATGGCCAGACTACATAATACGTTCACCCCAAAGATTGGCTTTAGCCACATGACTGAGTCTTATCCAATAGAATAGAAACAGAAGTAACCAGAACAAATCTTCCATTTAATATTTTCCATGGCCACTTCCTTCCCATCAGCCTCTTGGTTATGAGCATGTATCGAATCATGTCTTAAAGACTGTACAATCATAGTATTGAAGGAGCTTTGGTTGCCAAATCACCAACTGCTGGAGAGAAGTTCAATGGTCACTAATCTCCATTCTGCATATAATGAAAACAAAATAAATTTAAGTTGAGCAAAGCCTTTAAGATGGTCTGTTTCTATAACTAGTGTGGCCTTAACAACTAAAGATATCAGGTAAATTGGAAAGGCATGCAAAGATGCCTTATACCTTACTAAACACATCAGCCTCCTTTAGATTTTGATGAAGTCTACTTAGATATGTACTTGAAAATCTAAGCAAATTCAGTACCTTTTGAGTATGTTAAATCTAAGTTACATAAACCATAGTAAGGGGGATTCTATGTCTCTTGCCTCTTTCTGCCCCCACAAAGTCTCTCCTTCTTGCCCATAACCTAGAGATCATTCTGCAATAAACCCTGTCATTTATAGTCATCTTTCCTTCAAACCATGATCTCACACACACACACACACACACACACACACACACACACACACCAATTTTGTGGGTCAGTTCACAAACTAGAAACTCAGAAACTTAAGTGAACTCCCTAATATAGGGCCCACAAGGCTACAACCAGCCACTTATTACCCACAGACTCTAGAGCATCTCACTTCTATATCTCATGCATGGTGTCTTGACAAAGTAGATTGACTTCGGACCCTGTATCCTAGCACTTTACCATATAAGTGCTAGGAATTTATTTAAGATAATGATTGGGAAACTCTATTTGCATTGTGAGAAAAAGCCCAACAGGCTCCACTGAAAAGATAGTGTGAACTGTATGGTATAGCTGTAGATTTGCTTGGATTCAGCAAAAGCAGTCAAACTTTCAGGTTCCTGTACCACTTTATTGTCTCAGGGTCACAAGGAAATTACAGTTCACTGAAAGTGGATTGGACAAAGAAGTCACAAATGCAGAATGGTATGTGTCTAGAGAGCCATAGCCAATTAGAAACAAAAGTACACAGAAGGTGAGTTGGGGCTTCTTGGCAAAGGAATTTGCTAGGACCTTGGCAGAGGATAAGACTGATAATGTCCACCATAGGAGAGCTGAATAATTTTTGCCTGTGTCACAAACCATACCCCAAGGTAATTACATATCATCAGATGCCATTCAGTAGTACAGTTATAACCATTTATAATATCCATATCCCCTGTTAAACTAGACAGCCCATTGAAGCCAGAGACTGTATATTATCCACCTGAATAAAGCTGGCTTGGTGATTTCAATAGAATGGATGCTCAGTTACCATGTGCTGAATGAATGGCTACAAATTGGCTGTATTATTAAAGCACAGCAATAGCACATAGACATTCTTTGCTTTGATAGCAATGGTCTTGTGTATTGTTACTTTTGTGCACCCGCCCTACCTCAGAGATCTTTCTTTCCCTCAGCAGGAATATTATTGCAAAGGAAATAAACTACATCTGCTGACTTATATTCTAGAAGGAATGTAATGACCATCTCTCATTGTCTACAGAGAAAGTTACCACACTGAAGCCCTGCATTCCCAAAGCAAGAAATTTAGATTGTTGCAGTGGTTTCTATAGTTTTCTGGCAAACATCTTTTAAAGCAGCTCCGAATATGCACATATATAATAGGTTGTAATTGTTTGTAAAAAGGAGAGCAACAGAAGACTTTTGACCAATGTTTTATTGTCCTTACAATAATGATTCTCATTGTTTCATAAAGGAAAAAAATCACAACCACCAGACTGCTAGTGACCACAAAGATTTGTTCTTTAAATGCACAATCTGAGAACATCTTTTTTTCAAAACAGTAGGGTAGTGCCACTGCTAATAAGGACGTTATTCTATGAAACAACCATGTATTCTTCCATAATTTAAGATGCAGCTGAAACATTATGTTCAAAATATCAAAGGTGGCCAGGTAGTGGTTGGTGCATGCCTTTAATCCCAGCACTTGGAAGGCACAGGCAGGCAGATTTCTGTGATTTCAAAACCAGCCTGGTCTACAAGAGCTAGTTCCAGGACAGGCTCCAAAGCTACACAGGGAAACCCTGTCTTGAAAAAAAATCAAAGGTGGTGGCTACCAAATACTAAGTAATTTCAGAAATATTGGTTGAATAAACATTTTAAGAAAGACAATAATCTAAGAAATGCTAGTTAATCCAAAGGTCAGAAGCCCAAAGCACAAAGACCATCTTTCCAGGCTCTGAGATATTTGACAAGCAATTTTAAGCCTTCTCATTTCTCTGGCATGAGCACCATCTGTCTGGCAAGCCATAGTTCTTAGTTTCTTCTTAGCGATGCTCCAGGGCTAAATAAGAGAAAATTTATGGGCTGTGCTTTAAGCTCCATTGAGGTAAGGAACTAAATAAGCTTGAGGATAATTTATGAATTCTGAGCTTGCATCAGTCATGTCCCAATCCATCTCATAAAGAGTTTCGGAGTGGAAATAGGAGGCCTACACAGAGCACTTGGTGAAAAGCTCAGCAAACTTTGGACAATGGTAGTAAGGCCAAACAACAAAGCTTGAAATATACAGAATCCTTGACTCACACAAGAGAATGTCCCACACATTTTTAAAAAAAATTAAACCTCCTTCAAATGTCCAGTTAATAGTTCACTTGCAGAACAGCTGCTATATGAGTCAGAGCAATGTGTTGTTGCAGTCCCAGCCTGAGATCCAATATCTAATTTCCTTTTGATTTACCATAATTATTTTTAATAGACTGTGGCTCTCCTTCAGTGGCCATGTTTAGCAAGGAGCACCCAAGTCCTGTCTTGTTTTCCTCAGGCCAGCTCCCCTGCTTTTCTTCCATCCCTACAGGTATGTCTGACCTTCTTGCTACCAATTAATTTGTGTCTATTTCTTTAAGAAATCAGTCTCACAGAAAAAAACAATACTGTAATTTGGAGGGTTAAATAGAAACACTTGGGAAGCTAGTTATTGCAAAAAAAAAATGTGTGTGGCTACCAGGAGTGATTCTGTATCTCTTGATAAACTAAGTTACCCCAAATTACTTAGTGACTAGTCTAGCCATCCAGAAACTGGGAGAGCCCCCAACTAATCACTAGCCAGTTGTCCTTAACCAACAAATACCAACACCGTTTCAAAAGTCATAATTGTATAGCTTTATCAAACACTCTCTCTGACCTGTAGGAATGTGTTTCGTTGGAATTTTTCAAAGGGAAATCTCGAAGGAGTGCATGATTTCTATAAGCATGACAAACTCCAGCTATTCTTAAGTGTCAAGTACAGGAATAAAATGAAGATTATCAAATGCATACACCAGAGAAAAGGCACATACACTTCTAACACCTGAAATAAGACTGTTTGCTTTTAGAAATACAAACCAAGGTCACATTAAAGCATAGTTAAGAGGAGGAAAATGCTGCTGCCCTTCAGAAGTGTATCCATTCATAGAGGAGGAAGTCAAGGGGAAAATCACTCTCCTCAGACTAATGCAGTGTAATTGTTTTCCTCATGATGGTGTCCTTCCATTTTTCTCCCTTTGAAAGTTCCCATGGTTACAAAAGGACATGGCTCACAGTTACATTTTTTTTTTTTGCAAAAGGATGACAAGTCACAAGGATACAAAATGACCTCCTGTGGTTCATCTGAATTTGTCTTTTGCTTTTGAAATTTTTCTATTGGCCCACTTAACCCAGCACCCCATGTACAATGAACAATATGATGGGGATAGGGAAATGCCAATACTAAATAAAAATAAAAACAAACAAGAAATACCAAGTAGCCTCTTGAATGCCATGACAATTTTATCCTACATACACTGTTAAATATGGTAACAATTTTATCCTACAAACGTACACACTAAGTTAATTAATTAACACTAGAGAGGCTGATAAAAAAAAATAATGCTCCAGGGATCAAAATACAGTACTGTTTTTTAAAAACATAAACTCTTCATAAGACTTAAAGAATAAATTTGTGTCCCTTAGATCTAGGCAGGATTTTTAAAATTGGATTCACATATACTAAAATGCCTTCATTCTGGAAGTTTTTGAAGGGGATTTTCTTTTACAGAGATGTAACATTAAGAGGGCTGAGATGGAAGAACATTTACTCCCTCCTCAGGTTGGTGTTTATATAGTTGTACTGAAAGGAAATGAAAGCCATATGTTCCTGACATGGAAACAGAAAATTCTTTTCTCAATGTCTGCTTGGTTCAGAGTTAGGAGATACATCTGAGAATACGAAAACAAAACAGGAACTGCTCTATGACTGCTATCCACCACATAGATGCTCATAGAGCTTCATGGGGACTAGATCAACGTCTGTAAATTTCATTTCCTAGTATCTTTGTTGTTGTGTGGACAGTTTTTGTTGTTATTTTAATACTGCTGGCAGTCAAAGATTCATCCCTTTTCCCATTTTATAAACCCCAAATCCTTCACCTAATGGACTATACACCATCTTTGTTCATGCTGACTTAAATGGTTAGTTACATTGGATGTAAGTTCTCAGACACAATTTCCAATACACTCCAAAACTGAAGGTAACAACTTTATCAGAAATTATAAAATAGAGATCCGATGAATTTCTAATTTAACTACCCTTAGACATAAGAGATACTTTGTATTAATTGCACACCATAGAGCAAGCATCTTCATTATTGAGGGTGACAATTTTCATAGACTGATCTTTTCTATGGATACACTCTACTCAGGTCCCCTGAAAAGCTACAGATTGAAATTCTATGTACCACCTAGCTGAAGCTAACTAAACAGACAATAGGGATGCCAGTTTAACCAAGTAGCTTTAACATTTGTTTTTATTTGTTTGACTTTCTAATGAAATATATTTGGTTCAATCCTTGAATTCTTTTATAAGCCTAGGGACTTTGAACAGATACTGTTTAGATCCAAGCAAGTCATCTACCCAAATAATGAAAATGCATTAAAATAAAAGTCCTCAGTGAAATAAAGGCAGAAAGCAGTAGGTGCTGAGTACATCGGTGCCACCTCCAATGGCACTTCTCAGCTCTGTGAGGACTGTAGAAACCAGCACTCCAGCTACCAGAGTCGACAGGAATTCACGCCTCTGTTCATGGTGGAATTCGGTGGACAGTTAAAAGCTTTCTGAAATTCTTCAAAGTTGCTAATGGCACCATTGACCCTGAAAATAAGAGATGACAAAAGCACATTGTCATTCAATTCGTACATATCCATGGATTCTGGATTGTCCGTTGCTATAAAGGGAAGGAATCTTTGCATGCATTTGATCTGTTTACAAGGAAGCTAAAGCTCAGATAATTAAGAAAAGAAATTAATGTCATCAAGAATGAAAACCAACATTTCCTGAAAGCCTGGCCAGTACTCCTAGTACTCTTCCAAGTCTTCAAATTCCTACACAACTGTATCATCTCCAATACTTTGTTTTTCTAACTTTCAAAAAAAATACTTTTGGCAAGTGTTAAAGATAGAGTGTAACTGAAAGTAAGTAAATCATTAGCAAAAAAGAAAAACACCAACATTTCAGGCAACTAGTTAGTAAAATGAAGTTAGTTTGTAAAACTTATATAGCTGGCAAAAAGGGCACAAATCATAAATACAGAAACCACTATTCTTTCCAGATGTGTTTGTCATTCCCATTCTGGGATCAAGGAAAAGTATCCCAAGCACTCCAAAGTTTCCTTGTCTCTCTTGATAAGATCTCCCCAAAACTACTGTATCTGTGTCATTTAGTACCCACAGCACTACCTGTGTTTGAACTTGATATGAATGGAATGTCCATGGCATACAACTTTGTCTTTGGCTCTTTCTCTCTAAGTACAATATTGTAAGAGCCACCCCTCCGGCTGCATTTTCAATTAGTTTTTAACAACGTATTCAATGTACCAAAATACTTTCTCTAAATTCTTACTAATTCACATCTACCTAGAATTTGGTTAAGAATCTGGCTGTTACAGATGAGTATTTCTACCCTGAGTTTTAGCTCCAGAATCTGGTACATGCTCAAGTTCCTGACTGCAATGGAGACAGCATTTTGATTATAACTGGTTTTTGGAAGTGGTATTTCCATTGCATGATTTTTCTTTGCACTCAAAATCTATACTTACTGCAGATATCAGTAACAAATCAGGCAAAAATCTCTCCCTCATCAATTTTATTTTTACTCAACTGAACATTTAAAGGGTTTACTAAAATTTAACTCAGCATTTTATTTCTTCCCTAATGACTTTGTTACCTCTGGGCATTTGAATGAATACAATGGACTGTATCCAACAAATCCCCATAGCCTCTTGAGCTTAGTTGGGGTGTATGGGTAAGGATGCATATGTCATGGTGGGATTCACCTTAGGCAAGTGTTAAAGATAGAATATAGTTGGCAATCAGTAAGTATACTCTGTAATTATTAGCAAAACTCCAACATTTCAGGCAACCAGTTAGTAAAATGAAATTAGTTTCTAAAACTTATCTGTTGAGTAATTAATCTACTATGTGGTTTCTTCTGCTGCATTTTTCAGTGAGAGCATATTTTAGTCCATTAGAAACTGTCAGCCTTCATGACAGTTCAGCCCAGTGGGGGAGAATTTCCAACACAGTGATTAGATTTTTATGCTAGTGGGTAATTTATAGTCAATTTTGAAGCATTTCTAAAGCAAGGTTTTAGGAATAAGATTTTAAAATATAGAGGAAATCCTAGATGACTTTCTTATGATATGCTAATGATTCATTTAAATATTAAACATAAAGATATCCAGGTATAATATGTTCTAAGCAAATAATAACTATAAATTACCATGGCTTCTTGGATTTCTCTGTATAATTAACTGTCCTCTACTGTAGAAAATTTCTCTCAAGCCATAGAACCTAGTTGAGGATAAGTAATATCAACCTTAATTTTGTTTTTACTTAATATTTTATACATTCTGAAATTACAGTTGTTAATCTTTTTCCCTTCATGTATAAGCAATAGTTTCAAAGGGAGATACAAAATGAAAACCAAACTGCAGTGTCTCTGACTCTAGATATGAATTACAATTGCTAAAGATTACCATATATATCTTCCTTTGTGTTTAGAAAAGAGGCATATTTGTTCATGTTTGTTAATTTACAGTGTTGGTGAAAGACAAAAGCTATCACTTAGAATGCCCTTAAATAGAAAATAGACCAGAGCAAACCCGAATTCTAGATGCTTGTAAGCAGAATAGTTCATCAGATCATATCCTCTTCTGAGATAATAAATCCATTTTGAATTTATTTTTTGCCCAGATCTCCCAGCTAAAATAAATGGTTGGACCAAATCAATATTTCTGTTATTGCACAGTGCTCTGGTATACTAATGGCATCTACAGATTATTGCCTTCCAATTGCATATATATATATATATATATATATATGATATGTATCAATATTTGACTGCATGTATATGCATCAAGTGCATGCATAGGGGCCTTGGAGACTGGAAGACGAACTCAGATCCCCCTAGTGTTTGAGTTCCAGGTGGTTATAAGCCATCATGTGGATGCTGAAAACTGAACCTGAACCTTCTACAAGAATAGCAATGTTCTTAGCCTCCAAATCATCTCTCTGGCCCTGTGCAATTATAATTCTATATCTGAAACTTCATATTAAAACTGATTTGGATTGCAATTACTTTTGAAGCCTCATCATGATGAAACCTCATTGTGAAACCTCACTTGATGTAACACTAAGCAGAAATTTAGTTGAAAAGGCACTGAGAAGACCAGCTTACTACTAATGAAATAAGAGATGCTTAGTTTCTATTTGGCTAGATTCTGTTGTCTACAAAATGGAGATTACGTATTTCATTGTGTAGACTTTTGTTCATATCTCCCATCTAGCAGCACATTGGTGGGGTCCAGGGCACAGAATGGGGAGATGCACAGTTAAAACCTGCTGTGGCCCATTTGTTCACTTACCGAAATTGTGGAGGACTGTGAGCACCAATTTGGACTTGTTCTCTGGCAGCTTCTGGTCTGTAGGAATTGCACCGCACCTAGAAAGATAAAGACACTCCCGTAAATATGCTTCTACTCTAATTATATATTTCCTACTTTCTTAACTCATCCAACTTGAACTGAAGAATAATTTTGGAATTAATGGATAGCAAGAAGTTTCAGTGGATCAGCTAAAACTTTGAGCAACTGTAACATCTATTATTCAAATCCCCAAAGCAGAAGGTTTTATCAATGTGAATTCCAGAATTTGAGTAAATTAGGAAGGTTTCCAAGCAAACGTTTTAAATCAAGAGAATCACATGTGTCCAGGAATTGACCAATGCATTCAACTTATTGTTTTAAATAACCTTTATCAAATTTAATCATATACATTTCAATGAATAAACTAAGTGAACCATACCATAGTTTAGCATAATCAGGAAGTATACTAATTATAGATGCCCTGTCTTGCTTGCCTCATCCTGGTCTGGACTTGAGACAGGAATACATGCCTGTATCTTTTGAAGTTAGATATGACTATCTGACTTGTTTTGACCAGTAAATATTAGAAGTTATATATTCTATTTCCTGGTAAAAGTTTAAGAAAACTTGTCATCAATTCAATAGTCTTAGGGCCAATTTCAGTTGCTACATAAAGAGTCTTTTGGGGCTGAGTAGATGACTGAATCTGTAATGTTCCTGGTACAAACATGAGGACTTGAGTTCAGATTCCCTAAAACCTAAAAATGCTGGGCATGATGGAATATGTCTGCAATCCCAGAGCTGGGAGAATGGGATGAGAAAGGTGATAGAGAAAGGTGAAGTTCATTGGCCAAACAGCATAGCCAAATTGATGAGTTTTGGGTTCAGTGAAAGACCATGTATCAAAAAATAATGATAAAAAGCAATCAAGGAAAGACATGAAACATCAATTTCTAGCCTCCATACACACATGCATACATACACACATATAAGTAGGCACACCACAAACACACACACAGCAACACACACACATACACTCACACCAAATAAAAAGGCCCATGAAGATTTCCTCATATTTCTTTTATACTGTTTGGTGTCCATAAAGGCACATGTCAAGATGAAACACTCCAAAATCCAATTCCTTGAGTCAAAACAATGGGCAGAGCCCCACTGGACATGGAGCAAGAACAAGAAATATACTTTTGCTATGTTGTTTCTTTCCAAGGTATAACCTACTTAATACTGGTTTGAAATCGATCATGAAACATGATATAATTTTGAAGTATGAATACCTCTAGGACACATGAATATATAGGAAAGCATTTAAATGGAAAGGGAAATTTAACAATGATTGAGGGATGGGGAAGACATTCAGCTTGGTGGAGCATCAATGAGGGATCAGAGAAGAAAAAGGCTCATGCCAGATTTCTGAAGTACTGATCAGCAGGCCTGAGTGTCACAACCATGTTTAACATTGTTCTTGAACAGAAAAATAAACAATATTTTGAAGGATTTATCTGAAGCAGGTATATAGGAAAAGGCATAAATTAGAGATCAGCTAGCAAAAAGCTATTAAACAAGTAGAAATGGACATTGAAAGAACCAGATGTATAAAAATGTATTTTTAAAAAAGCATGAGAAAGCAATAGCAAGTCATAGCAACTACAGGCATAGAGAGGGCAGGAAAGATAATGGCTTACTATTATTTTGATAATGACAAATCATCTCTCACCATATTTATGAATATGTTTTGAAAGATGTTCTTATAGTGCAATTCCTTAATTTCCTCAGAAGCCATACCATGTGAGCTTATTTTTCACATTCAATTTTACCTCTTAGGTGTTTTTTTTATACTTTGTTTACATTAATATATAGTATTGACTATGTTTCATAAGTCATTTAAGAGATTCCTGAAAACACATTATAGTTGTTACTGTTCTCTAATACCTTTCCAGGACAGAAAATAACATGCTCCATATAAACAGACTTCCCCCAATATAAAACAAAAAAGTGAAAATCTCTTCATTCTGTAGGGTGGGGGGCTTGAAGAGAAATTTCTCAATGGTGATTTTTTTAATAGAATTGCTCTTTTATCCCAAATTTCTTCAGTTTGACAAAATATGTTATATTTGAAGACATCATAAACATTTTAATTGCAGCAGCTCTCTCCATCAGTTTATTTCACTCACAAGGAGTTATTATGGAATAGAATGTAAATAGGAGGAACAGATGGACCCTTGTATCTTGTCCTCTAGATCAGAGCAGAGCAAAATTCTTCTTGAGTGTAGCCATTTTCCAATCAAAACATGATTTATTATTTATAAATAAAAACAAACCATTGGCCTTTATTGGGCCCTGTTTTCCCATTCTAACTAGGAAATACTATTTTGAGGGTGAAGTTTTTGGTATTTTTATAGCTGACCCATTACTGACACAAAATTAAATGGTGGCTTTGATCAGGCGTTGGTGGCTCACTTGGGAGGCAGAGGTAGGTGGATCTCTGTGAGTTTGAGGCCAGTCTGGTCTACAGAGTCAGTGCCAGGATAGGCTCCAAAGCTACACAGAGAAACCCTGTCTTGAAAAACCAAGAAAAAAAAGGTGGCTTTGGTCAAAGTCATACCAGTGAACTTTTCTTCCAAACCTTTGATCAAGGGCACAAGTTAATGGCATCCATTTTCATCCATTATGCCCTTTCCTCAGTTTACTCACATGAGCATAACTCAGGAAGAAGAGCTGGTTGTTTGTGAAGGTGATGCCTGGTAGGAGAGGCTCTTCAACTCCTTGTCTTCGGTCATTTATCCATTTCCTGTAAGCCTTGTGATGGAAGCAGAACAGGTGATCCTCATCAATGACAGCTCTTCTCTCTTCCCATTCATCACAAAAGTATTAAAATGCATATCCCTCCCATGTATAGAATGCACTGTGTTGGGTTTTCCTTTAAGAAAACAAACATCTGGAAATGCATCCCACTGCTATTTAGCCTAACAGTGAAGGAGGTGCTAATGCACTTTATACCTTACAGTGCTAGCCAAGCATGGTGGTGCACATCTGTCATCCCAGCATTTGAGAGGCTGTGGCAGGAACACTGCCATGAGCTTGAGGTCAGCCTGGACTCAGGGTGAGACTCTTGTCTCAAAAAAGAAAAGCAAACCAACAAAGGGGAACCCTATACTCTATCCATAGCAAAGCAAATGGGCCACAATGATCAGAGATTAATTAACTCTTTAAAGGGTGTTCTCTCCATTCCAACCAGAGGCAAACAAATTCAACATCATGCATCACTGCTTTAGCAAGTGGAGAAAACATATTACTCTTTTAAAATTTTATCAACAAGAAAATGTTTCATCTTTTTTAATCATAATTTAATAAAATAAAACTTGTCTTAAGTAGAATATAGAAAATATAACACTTTAGGATCATAAGCCGGTCTTTAAAGTAAATATTCAGCTTTATGCAAATATTTCTATGTTACCTATGTTATCATTATGTTTATTTCTTTCTTCACCATACACTGAGAGACGATGCAAACACTCTTGAGGACTCTCACTGGCCCAATATATGAGAATGAATAGGATCCAGTCGTAAGTTAGAAGTTGGAGATTTTATGATAAATGATAAGGAGGGATAGAGAGAAAGCTTTACTTCAAGAAAGTTCACATGAACTTAGTCCCAAGGAGAGTCCTATGGCATTGTTTAGCATGATTCTGACTATATTATTGGTAAACTATATTTTCAATAGATAATTCTTAATAACCATTATTATTTAGGATGTCTCAATACCTCAAAAGAAAAAAATGAAGTTCTACTTATCAACTAGAGTTATAACTGAGTCTATATAGAAACCCAGATGTGTTTTAGAGAATCCCAAACGTCATACTCCTCAACAGCTTGTTGGTGCTATACACCGAAGTACACCCATGCATACTGCCAAGGTGTTTTTTTAAAGCCCAGTAAATGTAATGGTGAGTACCCTAAAAGCTTCTCGAAGACCTCCATTATCAGCAATATTTTCTCCCAGGGTCCTCTTCCCCTTTACCTAAAGGAAAGAAAAACAGAAAGTATTCCACATTCAACTAGCATTTGGCAAAAGGCTTGTAAATATTACAGGAAGGGAACATGTCATATCTTAAAGAGAAAATTACATTCAGTAAGTCAGACATAGACGTGATATGTTGTGAGATAGCAAGCGAGCCCCAACAAGGGGCTTCTGAGTGTAGACATTTTTTATCTTGTTACTTTCTGCATTACTTTCTCATACACCTCTTTATTCTCCCAAATTGAGCCAGCTCCAATAAAATGTTAACAATATTCTCAGTGGCTCTGGTTTAATGGAAAAAATAGAAATGTCAATATCCAGATGACTTTCTCTGATTAACTCACATAATTTGAGTGTTTTTCTCATTGTCCCTATGTCTCTAAAAAATTGCCATCCACACAGAAACAAGATTTCAGCACCAACTGTTATCATTTTACCTTCAGCTATTTCTATGAAACATTAAAATGAAAGTTGTCCTCTTGGGGAACAAAAAATCAAATTGAAGTGGTACAGACTACAAGGTCAAGGTTTGAAATATGTGTGACACCCAGCCAAGCATGGGGAGACATTCTTCTCAGCTGTTTCTTAAAACTATAAATGAGCTAGGAAAGAAAGTCTAAGTTTAGCAAAGGATTACCAGCCTACAATCCACACTGCCAGAGAAGCTAGGAAACAAGGAGGACCCTAAGAGAGACATACATGGTCCCCTGGAGAAGGGGAAAGGGACAAGATCTCCTGAGCAAATTGGGAGCATGGGGGAGGGGAGAGGGAGTTAGAAGAAAGAGAAGGGGTATAGAAGAGGGGAGAGGAGGACATGAGGGAGTCAGGAGAAGAAAAGAGGAGCCTTCATCCAGTAGCTGATTCAAACAGAAGCAGACGCCCACAGCTAAGCACTGAGCTGAACTCCTTGAATCCAGTTGCAGAGAAGGAGGAGGATGAGCAAAGGGGTCAAGACCAGGCTGGGGAAACCCATAGAAACTTCTGACCTGAACAAGGGGAAGCTCATGGACCTCAGACTGATAGCGGGGAAACCAGCATAGGACTGTTCCAGACCCCCTGAGAGAGGATGTCAGTTTGGAGGTCTGGGCAATCTATGGGGCCTCTGGTAGTAGATCAGTATTTATCCCTAGTATATGAATGGACTTTGGGAGCCTACTCCACATAGAAGGTTACTCTCTCAGCCTAGACACATGGGGAGGGCCTATGCCCTGCTCCAAATGATGTGACAGACTTTGAAGATTGCCCATGGAAGGCCTCACCCTCTCTGGAGAGCAGAAAAGGTATGAGGTAGGTAGGGTGTTAGTGGGGGGGAGCGGAGGAGCAGAGGGAGAGAGAGCTGGGATTGACATCTAAAACAAGCTTGTTTCTAATTTAAATTTTAAAAAAAGAAAGTCTGTGTTTATATATCCCAAAGCCAACCTGCCATTTGCTTTTGTCTAGTCTGGATTTTACACTTGTTGGTGATTGAAGAAAAATCAAAAGAACATATCTTATGCTCATAGAAATTACATAAAATTCAAATATCAATGTCTATAAATCAAATTTTATTAGATCACAGCCAAACCCATTAACATACACAGTCTAGGTTTCCTTTCTTGCTTCAAAGACAGTTGAGTATTTACTATCTAACTTACAGGTTTGCCAGTCCCTGTATAGTAGGCAGAATAATGGCTTCTTAAAGATATCAACATCAAAATCCCCAAACCTTCAGCAATAAGTTACCCTGCAATGACATAAGTGACTTTTAAGATGTGATTAAGTCAAGGATGTGTGTGTGTGTGTGTGTGTGTGTGTGTGTGTGTGTGCGCGCGCGCGCGTGCGCACACGCGCGCACACGTGCACATGCGTGCATGTGTGTGAGAGAGAGAGCGAGAGAGAGAGAGAGAGAGAGAAACTTATTGACTTATCATGATTTGTCCAGATAAGCTCAATGTAATTATAAGTGTCCTCATAAAAGGAAAAGGAAGACAAGAGCACACCAGAGTGGTACGCTGGCCTTTGAAGGACTAAGGGTTCATGAGTCAAGAAATAAAGATAGCCTCAGAAACTTCAAAAATGCAAGACACAGGCACTTCCCTAGTACCCTCTAAAAAGGAAGATATCCATGCTGACACCTTTCTATTAGGCCACTGTGTCACACTTCTGACATTGAATGTTATGAGAATAAATTTGTGTTGTTTTAAACAACTAAGTTCATAGTCATTTGCTGTGTCAGCAACAAGAAACTAATATACCTACTCTAAAACTCCCAAGTCATGGATCCTACCCACAACTTTTAAGTTAGCCCAACTGCTGATGTATCAAGTGATGCTAACAAATCAAAATACATCTTAAGGAAGCAAGAATCAAGGTTATCAGCCAGAACCCCCACCATCCCTTGCTTTATGCTCCTGAAGTTGCCATTCTGACTCTACCTATATTCTTTTTCCACATTCCAATGAGGTAGGGACTACTGTCAATACCTCTGTTTAACAAACAAGCATCTGAATCTCAAAGCTGTTCATGGATTTAACATTTTTGAAATGAAAATCTAATACATCATAAGCCTTCCCTCCTTCCAGCCCTTCTCATGCACGCTCCCCTCCTGTGCTCTCTCTCAAATTTGTGGCCTCTGTTTCTCTAAGTGCTATTGTAACCTGCTCAGTTCATAGAAAGTAACTTGTAGAAATATGATTTCAGGGCCTTCCAGTGGTTCCCCTTCTCTCCCAAGACTCTGCAGTCATCCCTGTGACTGCCAACCTTAGCCTATGGGAGTGCTACAGCCCATCTTCCAGTGATTGACTGATGTGCTGGTAGAGCTGCTCAACCCCTTGTCCCTGAGCTGAACAATTCCTGGGTTGCTATTCATTCTCCAGAACCCTATTTAGTATCAAGAGTTTAAGGCTGAGCTTCCCTCAGAGCCAATAGCAGATTTCTCATAAAACTACTTTCTCAGTGACTCCATCTCCTAAGGAATGCCTTGTTGAGTTTTGCTTATAAATGAAGTTACTCTAAGACAAAATGATTAAGAAAAAATGCTCACATTTGTCAGGTATCCAAACCTAAGTAGACCTCTTTCTCCAAAGTTTTTGTTGTACGGCACATGCCTTCTCAAGTCTCAATTTTTTCTTATGTACATAAGAAATAATGTACATAAGAAATACTTGCCTCTATCTCCTCTTCATGCTAAACTTTACATCTAAATTATACCTTCCAGAGTAGCCTCATCCCTCTTAACTCCTCACACTCTGAACCATCACAATAGAGCATGAGAGACCAGGTTTAACCTCTCCAGACATACTAGCTGCTGACATTCTGCATCTGTGGTGACCCAACTAAGTTCTTCCCTAGTCACTGCAAAGAATAATCTGGGCACAGAGGGACTGACTCTTACAAATAAAATTTGGAAAATGGCTCCTGACCACTTATATCGACAAAGGAAACACACATACACCCCCCATACACCCCCCACACACACAACCCTTCTACAGCAATGAGACTGAAGCTGTTTTCTGATGGTTGAACGAATTTACACTGAGACACATCTGCTCCTATGACCATTGTCCTAGTGGCAAAGATACATATTTTCAAAATTACATATCAGTATCTGACACTTTGGTCAAACAAAATAGATACTGAAGAACAAAACTAAATATGTGTATTTGAATATATTCATATAAGTGAATAAACTTAAATAAGAGAATGAGAGCATGCTATGGACACAGGTGAGTATGACTTGGAAGTCATACATTTCTAAACTCTAACCTAGACTCTATAGTAAGTGACCTTTCATATTAAACTTCACGGAAAAATAAATTTCACATTTATGAAGACTTAAATGTAAAATATCAGAACAATGGAAAAAACTTTCCTGGGAAAAATAAGAGTTTCCTGTGATGGTTTGAGTGTGATCATATATTTGAATACTTGTTCCCTAGTTGATGGAACTGTTTGGGAAGGATTGGAAGGTGTGACCTTGTTGGAAGAGGCATGAGGTTTCAAAGGCCCATCCCCATCCAGTTAGCTTGAATCACTGTCTCTCACTCTCTCATTCTTTTGCCCCCGCCTCTCAGCCTTATAATTGTTACCTCAGGATGTAAGTAAGCTCTTAGCTACAGCTCCAATGCCATTCTTACCTACCTGCTGTCATGCTCCCGACTATCATAGGCATAGGCTCTAACACTCTGAAACTATGATGCTGGAACTAAATGCTTTCTTTTGCATGTTGCCTTGGTTATAGTCTCTTACCACAGCAAGAGAAAGGTAGCTAAGACAGTGTTCTGAGTAGAGGAGACATCTTCATAGGGCAGAACAGAAAGACAAAAGCTGTTTTTAAGAGAGATTTGGTATCTTGAAATTTTAAAATGTTTTGATTTTGTGTGTCAAACGATACCATAGGAAAAATCTTAAAGGGAAGATTTTTTGAGGAGGAAGATACATACAATGTGAGTGACAGAAGTTTAGCAACCCTACTATTTTAAAAGGCTTTATAAATTGGAAAGAAAAGTAAAGTTTCATGGATATATAATCTTTCATCTACCACTTGTAGAAATATTAAATTTTATTCTGGTAGCAATAGGAATGTATCCTACCAGGAAAAAATAATGTATACATAATAAGGTACTTACTGCATCGGTATTTCTAACTGAAAATTGTACCCTTGGGTAAGAGGTTAGTGAGGAATTCTTAGGCCATCACCAGAAGCAATTAACTAAAGCTGTGTGTGTCTATCTTTTCCTGAACGCAGAAGAAAAGTGTATCAGGGCTACTAATGCCTGTCCTTAGGCAGGGAAAATAAGAAAGAGAATAGGAAAGGTGATGAAGATAAAGGCAAAAAGGAAAGGAACAAAATTTCACATCCTCAAAGCATGCATACAACTGAATTTTACCTTCATGGAAAACCATATACACACATATGACACAAAATAAACATTTCAAAAGTACATTTCTTTTGTTCAAACTCTATTACTAAAACTCGATTTCCTTCTCAGACCCTTTCGTTCAAAATAATGAGACGTTATCTCAGTGAATTCAGTCTAACAATGGTTTGGATGGATTTTTTTCACAACATGAAATGTAGGAGATTTTTAGGAAAGTTATTGTTTATCTGTGCAAGGGGATTTGTGATGTCACTAATGTGTAGGCCTATAATTCTCCTGTTAGGACTACCTGAGAGCTTGTGACAGACTCCCAGAGTACCAGACTCCACCCCTAGAGATTCAGTAGGTCTGGGCAGGAGTCAAGAATTTGCATTTCTAACAAGCTCCCAGGGAAACACAGATGTTGTGGATCCCAGAAGCATGCTTGAAGAATCAATGGAGTAAAGCAAGCTAATGTCTAAATGGGGGAAATGGCCCACAAGGTGCCCCCCTATCAACCGCAGCTGTACTCACGTTTAAGCCAGCTTTCTTCCAATAATAGTTGCTATACTGGTTAATCATGCACTTTGTTTTTTCCTTAAACTTTTCTTCTGAGTCCACAGACCACCAAGGATCAAGATTTCCATTTTTATCATATTTTCTACCTAGCAAAAAAAGGAAAGTTACGAGAAATCGGTGTTACTTTATAGAAGCTGAAATCATAGTCTTTCCTTTCCTTCACCTCAACATACTTTCCAAACCAGTCCTGACAGCATAGGTTGCTGTCCCTGAGATCAGCTCCCATGTCATCTCCAATGTAGAGGATTAATTGTAGAAATCAGGGGAGGGAGGCAAAGATTTGAGGGAGTTCTTTCCTTGAAACGAACAAAGGGCATTTTCAAAATGAGAGTCATCAATTTAACACGTGCACCAGTCTCATCCAATGTTGGATTCCTTGTTTTCATCTCCTCTGACCTGAAACATTCTCTGGCCAGCAAAATTAGTTTCCTTCATTCAAAAAGCAGAGGGAAGTGGAGTAGCACTAGCCGTGAAATTCCAAATAATCCATAGGAACAGCCCCAGTGAGTCATCCAAACCATAGGACCACAGAACCTGACTCAGCCCTACAGCAACCTGCTTCCTCTAAGTTGCCAGGAGCGAAGAGACACACAAACCCTCTGTTCTGAATCATTTCACAGTCATCAGTGTGGATAGGAGACCCATCTGTCCTGCTTGGATGAGGAATGTTGCTCAAAAAAGAGAACTTAGGACTGGAATGGAAATCTCCAGAATGCAACTGGGGGAGGGGAAAGATTAGTTTTTCTTGCTACATGGTTTCCCATTCTTCATCTTCTCTGCAAACTTCAAAACAACGATTTGAGTGTGACTCTTCTATTTTCAAGATTGTTACTAGAATTAAAGGCACGGTTTTAATTTAATTACACAGAAGCCCCCTACATAAGAGTCTCCAAAGAAAGAACTTGTAAGAAAGGGCTTACATAGAAGGTCAATAAGCAAAAGCATTTACCAGATCAACCCAAAGCTCTTCAGCAAGGTTGTTGCTTGCAACTAACACTACCCCCCCGGAAATGGAGTCACTGTCCTCTACCCATCAATCATCAGTTACTGGGCATATACTCAAATGTGCAATACACTATGCTACATATTTACAGGGTGAAATTGCCATTATAAGACTCTATCCTGTGGGAAAGAACCCAGAAGAAAGGTCCAGAACCAATGCCTTTGTTTCTTAGTTAAGAATCTTCTCTTAAATAAACTAAATACCCAAAGGCCAAAAGGATGGTTCTGGGAACTGGAGTGATTATAAGAAAGCTACATTTTAACAGGAAATGGGAGACCAGAGGAGCAGGAGATGGTCAGACAAGGAAGGCATTAAGGAAGGGTTGGTGAGAGGTAAGAAGAATTATCCAGAAGGAAAAGAAGCCAATTTCTCTCTTGTCCCAGAATAGTCATCCAGTAAAGGATGTTGGAGACAAGCCTGGTGACTTGACTTCAATACTTTGGACAAACATGAGAAAGATAGAACCAGTCCTACAAGTTGTCCCTTGATCGACACACACACACACACACACACACACACACACACACACTCACAAAATACACAAACACAAATAAAAAATAAATGTCATAAAAACTTAAAAATGATGACTCTCAAAGGAGATTTTTCAGTTTGTTATTATCTTGCAATTCCCTTTTGCTTAAATACCATCAGGATACAGAACATATTTATATGTTATTAATTTTGAGTATATGCCAATATAGAGAAAAATAGAAAAGAAGCACTTGAAAATTATACAAAGTAATCAGGCAGCCGAGTTTCTAAAGCTAAATTCTTAATTAAGCAACACATACAATCATCTCAGGGGCAGAGCTCACACCTCTAGGGAAAACAACATAGGATGGTGAGGAGGGAAAAAAATGACAAAGGGGAAAAGCTACAGTGGAATTTCTGCCCCCACTGTAGCAGCCCCAGAAATTCCATTCCAAATGCAAAGGCGATTTCATGGAAACTGCAGAGTCTTTTTTTTCATTTTACCCTGATCACCGACTGGAATAGTTATTTATTTCAAGCTATCACAGCAAAACACGAGAAAAGTTTTCAGTCAGCGATCTTATTGCTTGGAATAATCTTCAACCTACGATGATGCCAGTGTGAAAAGATAATAACAATTAACACCATCTAATGGGCAATATTATAAAAGAAGCGGCTTGTAAGATGAACTAGTACTTACCATTATTATCAAATCCATGTGTAAATTCGTGTCCGACAATTACTCCTATAGCACCATAACTCAGGGATCTATGTCATAAATAGACAATTTGGAAAAAAATTACAGGCATGAACCTGAGGATATGACCCTCTAATTTTTAAATAAAAAGCCAAGCTAATAAACTATTTTCTAGTAACAGTAATAAAAAAGTATCTAACAATCATAGCCATAAAAGTATAAAACAATGTCCCTAAACATACGCTTCTAATCAAAACAAAGCAGTATAAATTCCAACATTGTCACTGTGACCTGGTATGGGCCTTAGTGTCCCACTCTGTGAAATGGGGGATTTGATAGACAAATTTCTAAAGTTCTTTCCAGCCTTATGACATCTGTGGTCCTATATCTGTTGCAGTGATATTTTGTATTTATGCATACCTAAAACAGGGCTCAAAAACCACAGATATACTAATTTTTATCTAAAAATGTGCTGCAAAGTCACTATAATCATAGAAGTCAAATTGTTTTCTAAATGTAGTCATAAAAAAGGAATAGAATGGAGATTAAAAGGAACCGTTCTGTTTGGAAGTTAGTCACATTCCTCTGTTTGTGTGGCAGACAACCTGACAATTGAAAAGCAAAGACTGTGAAGGCTTAATCAGATGTGGGGAAGTGTTATAGTATTTCTCTTCACTTCTGAAGAAGGATGCGGTAGATTATGTATGTTGGTGGATGGCCACCAACAACATCTACTCTTAAACCCAAATGTCCCCTCTCCTCTTACCAAGATATGATCTGTTTCCTTGCCCTTATATCTGGACTGGCCTCAAGAATTGTGACCAGAATATAGTGTGTAAGAAGCTGAGAGAGGCTCTTGGAATTAGACCTTAAGACACCTTGCAGTTTCCAGCTGCAGCCTTTCCCTAAGTTAGCAATAATGTAAAGAATTTGACTGCCTGGTTAAAGGGAAAGGGGGCTGGTAAAGCAATGGAGAAACTTCAAAATGTAAGGGACTCTAGAGGAACAGAAAAGGCTCTACTGTGCCCCAGCCATTACAAGAGCAGGAAGGAGGGAAGGCATTCTAAATAGTCCAGCCTAGTGGAGCAGCCCCAGACCAAATCACAGAATTGTGAGCCAGTAAAAGGCTGTTTGGTGCTGCCTTATAGATAACTGGAGAAAAGCATAGATAACTGGAGAAAAGCACAAACACCAAAGTTAAGGAAATCAATGAGCTTTCCAGATACATGTGTCTAGGATTTTCTCCACAATCTCCTTGAAGACCAAGCCCTCCCCTCAACCATTTACCACTAAATTCTCTGTTCCTAGTACAACAATAAGAAAAGTAACAGCGATTTAATTCATGTAAAGGACACGTCTAATGTGGAAATTATTTAAGTCAGTTAACATATAGGTAAGAATTATAGACAATTTAGACTCTTTATTATAAGATTTGCAATTGTGCTAAAAATATTTCACAGTCGGTTCCTGACACACGACATCAAAGTCATCCAGCAAACAGCTAGGACCAAAGCTGGAAAGAACAGAATTTTTGGAAGCAACATGTTATTACAGGATGTAATGGTCCTTAACATGCTAATTGTTTGTCTCAACTGTACCCAAGGAAGTGCTGTAAGACTTAATTTTTCCCCTTGGTGGCAATTCTTTCCTTTGTTATTTCTTTCCTGCAAGGTAATTTGCATTTGAAAAAATGTTTCCTACTGTTTTTCCATCATTGCAAACCTTCATTAAAGAAGTAAGAATAAAATCACGCATTTCCATCATAGAACTATCATAGCCTATGTGGAACAAACTTGTAATTTCACACAGTACTAATGTTTGTGGTAGTAGCTAACACTGTGTGATCTGCAACATGTAGATTTCCCAGATTTCTCAGTCCTCCACACCCCTCAGTCAATGATATTAACTGGATAAATTTAAGGGGTGGACAAATGGAAGCATTAGAAAGTACTCTGCAATAAATATCCTTCAAGAAGGACTGCTCCAAAAAGTTTCTTTGTAAGGACAACAGGGAATGCAGAAAATGATTGAATTATTGTCTCAATTCTCAGTTACAGAAACACAATCACTTAGACAAGAGACAAAGAAAAATAATTTTGTATGACTAAACCTTATGATAATGTTTTATAATATTACATTGATGTCTTCTATTATTTAATGGAAATTAGTATGCCATAAAAAAATCAACTCACGTGCCTCTTAAAAATACAACTGGCTAGGCAGCAATTGGAAGATTTCCTGCCTTAAAAATAGAACCCTTTTGCCAGGCAGTGGTATCACACATCTTTATTCCTAGTACTTAGGAGGCAGAAGCAGTGGGATCTCTTAGTTCAAGGCCAGCCCGGTCTACAGAGTAAGTTTCAGGACAGTCAGGACTTCACAAAGAAACCCTGTCTCTAAAGGCAAACAAAAAAATAGAGAGAGCTCCAAAAGGGAAGGTAATAGTGTTACCTTACTACTTATTCAATTTCTCTTATTAACTAAGGGCTTTAAACATATGCACGAGATCTTCTGACAATTATGAAACAATTATATTGCTGTCTGGACTCACCATGACCCCAGGCTGTCATCAAGAACCGGCTACCCTATTCCTGTATCTGACAAATCATAAAAAGCTCTAAGATGAAAGTAGTTGTAAAATCCTGTTCAATGTCCTAGTTGAACACTTGCTGATATCCCTAAACACAGAAAAGCATTCTGAGACTTAATTTTCCTTCCAAAAGACAAAACACAGAAGGCCTGTGATCCTGTAATTTGGTGGGGGGGGGAGTCAAGAAGATTGTAAGTTCAAGGACACAAGGACAGCCTTATTTTACATAGAAACTTCCAGACTGGCAACTTTGCAAAAAAAATTGAAAACCCCATCTCCAAATGTTGCCAAGTTCTTTCAAGTTTTGTTTTTATAGAAAAATAATTATTTTATTTTATCTATATGGGTGTTTTGCCTACATGTATGTCTGTGTACTATGTCTGTACCTGGTACCCACAGTGGGCATTGTAAGCCACTATGTGGATGGTGAGAATTGAACCCAGGTCCTCTGGAAGAGCAACCAGTGCTCTTAACAGCTAAGCCATGTTTTGAACCCTCTTCCAAGTTCTTATTCTCAGTCATGAACTAGACAGCATTTCCCAAAACCATAGAAAGCAGAGTCATCAAGCCTTGGGGTTAAACACATCCAAATAACTTCCTTAGAGGACTTGAGAAATGAAGATAGAGAGACAAGAGAGGATGACAACAATTTCATGGAACACTTTTGGATTATGTTATTGGTCATTTACATTCCCGATTCTTGCCTTTGGAAATGATTTGGCTTATTTCTGGCCTCACAACTAGAGGCAACACTCACCGGGAGGCTATACTGAGCAGCCTGAGCAAAAATATACCCATTCCTTTGGTTCTGGTTGCTATCCATCAATTAAGAGCAAATCAATGGGAAGCCAGCTCACTGAACTGTACTTTCTACCATTTCCATATTCCCAGTGCAAAGTAGACGAATGATGCTTAACAGGTATTCACTGAAGTGATATATTAATAGAAAGTGGGTGGCTGACTCAAGTATCAACTATGGCTCAATCTGAGGTAACACTAGCAGACACTAACTAACAAGAATTCTTAAATTTCTGATTTGTATGTTTCTCTAAAAATCCTGTGCCCATGAACAAATAAACAAATCACTGAATCAATGGCTTCCAAACATAACCAGACTATTTCCAAGTCTTCAGTTATAGTTATATAACAATAGAAAACTTATTATAAGCAGAGTCAAAGAATGACAGGATTTTTTCATTTTGAAGAGACCTTAGAGAACTACTTAAACTTTAATTGTTATGAACTTACTGTATACATTTCTAATCTTAATCATGGGAGGAAACAGAATCCAAATGCCTAAACACTGAAGAAAGCTATTCAGCTAAGGTCAGGGATTACTAATGGATTTGATTAGATACCAACCTAATATTTTGCATTTTCACTAACAATAGGGCTTCCCTGCAGTAGATTCTGTTGATGCCTGCCTATGTTCCCTCAGCACACAGCATGTCTCAGTGTACTGATCTCATTGCTTCTACATGCCAACATAAAACTAGTTGCCTAAGGATTTTCTCCAGCCACCAGAGATTTCTTCCCATAGGGTGGGCACTGCCAGGGAATTCCCCATGGTAGTACCTCTACACCACTGATGGAATGTGACCTAGAGAACAAATAACCCAGCTCCCTTATGTTGAAGCATGTTCTGTAGATCCCCAGCAAGATTGATTTCCAGTTGCCCATTATGGTGGGTTAGCATTGTAACACACATGTAGCAAGCAGAATAATGGCTTCCCCAAGGTGCCCTGGTGCTAATTCCTGGAACCTGTGAATGTGTTCCCTTACATGACAAAGATGAATTAAGGCTGCAGATGGAATTAAGGCTGCTAACCAAATAACCTTAAAAGAGAAAGACAACCCTGAATTATCTGGGTGGGCCCAAAGTAACCACAAGTATCTTTAATAAAAGAAGAAGCAAAAAATGATGTCAAAGGAAATGCTACTTCAACATTTTTAAGATGAAGAAAGAAGGTCATGGACAAAGAAATGTGCCCCCCTCTAAAAGTCAGAAAAGATAAGAAAATGATATATTCCCTAGAACTTCCAAAAAAAGAATGCAACTTTGCCGACACCTTGAGTTTAGCCTAGTGAAAGCTAGATTGTATTACACAAAGATAGTCTTCTATGCTTGTATAGTATTAGTGGTCAGTCTCTTCCAGCCATCGAAGACTCATAGGACCCTAAATATCATTTTCCTTTCCTCTCTGCTCCACCTCCCCATTTCCTGCTGGGATTTCCTGGAACCACATTCCAAAAGAACTACCTACACCCTTATGTCAGGGGCAGCTTCTGAGGAAGCCCAACCAAAACACTACCAGTATGTTTCTCTGATTTGTCTATGCCTGATTTATTATGTCATTTAGCCTACATAATCAGGTAAAAGTTCTCATATGTCAAAATGCAAATACAAGTAACTCAACTTCTAAAATCAAGATTAGATTTCCCATGTATTAGAGGACCACAACCACATAAAGGCATATAAGAAAGTAATTGTAGTATTGACAATAAATATTATGAGGAACTCCGTTATATAGAGAAAATAGGAACAGGCATCTACAATCTGTTTATAAACAGATTGTCTCTAAGTCCAGACATGTCCATTTTGACCTATGGTACAGCTACACTGGTTATATTTCTAATTACAAATTGATTACCTCACTTCTTCAGAAAGCTCAGTATTTTTTATTCTAAATTCCTCACTAGACATTCAGAGCCCTCCAATATCAAACTAAAATCTTTTTGACATGAACTTCTCTTTGTATTCTTCTTGACCAGCAAAATTACCCTCTGTCATTCCATACAGCACCTTTCTTCACACAGAAAGGCCCATTTCTTTCTATCCCAGGGATCTTTCAAGTGATTAAATACATGAAAAATAAAATACTGTATAGAATATTGACTTTCCCATCTAGTCAAATACTCTGGTAATGAGGATCAGAAAACAAATACCAAATGAAAACTAGTAAGGCCTCCAATGCTTTCTTTCTGCTGAATAACCATTGACTTGGAATTGACTGTTTAATAGATTGCCATGAGTCTCAGAAAAAACTTTCAACTTTGGACTTTTAAACAATGTTGAGACTGTAATAGACTATGGGGACATTTGAAGTTGGACTAAATGCATTTTACATTATGATATGGCCACAAGTCTATCCAGGTCATGGAGTAGAATGTGGTGGTTTGAATGAAAATGGTCCCCAAAGTGGCAGTACTAGGAGGTGTGGCTTTGTTGGACTAGGTGTGACCTTGTTGGAGGAAGGGTATCACTGGCGGGTAGGCTTTGAGGTTTCAGAAGCTCAAGCCAGGAAGCTCAAGAAGGAAGCTCTCTTCCTGCTGCTGCTGATCAGGGTGTAGAAGTCTCAGCTACCTCTCCAGCACCATGTCTGCCTGAATGCCACTATGTTTCCTGCCATGACACTAATGGACTAAACCTCTGAACTCCAAGCCAGCGCCAATTAAATGGTTTCCTTTATAATAGTTGCTGTATCATGGCATCTATTCACAGCACTTAGAACTTTATGATAGACTATATATTCTGTCACTGGCCAGATCAACAAGTTCTTTGCTAACTTGTCAAGGACTTTTATAATTTACTTACCGAGGGTATTCTGTTCCCCAAAAGAAAGGCTTCTGCAGCTCACCAGCTGGAAATCCTTAGAGGGTGGCAAGCAAAAAGAATGTTAAGGATATGAAGAAGATGATTCAATATCCAGACTCTGGTTCCAGCTACAGCCCAAAGCTCATCCAAACTGTATTCTTTGTGGATCCATCATATATCCGAGAGATCTATTTAAATCTATTAATTCACCAGAGTTTGAAATACTTACTTCAAACATGGAATCATTTCTAGGACAATTTGTACAGATATGCCATTGGTAGAATCCAGCCTACTGTGAAATGGGCCCCTTCACACACAGCACACCCACAGGCTGCAGGATAGCCAGCAGGTTCCCAGATGTTCATAGGTTTCAGACTCCTAGTTATGCACTATCGCAGCCACACACGCCAGACAGGAAGATGATGTGATAGTTCACTGTCCTTGCATTGCATGTCTTTGTACCTGAGTTTCTGAAGTTGTGTTTTATATGTGGGATGTCATGACGCATGTGTGTGTAGAGTAGATGCACATGATATGCACATTAGCTGTCCCTACGCACCCTTTGTACAGGCAGCACTTATCCTGCCCAAGGAGTACAGGTTTTCAGTTGTTTCATACATGGGGGGAGTCTAGCAAGATACAGCCTATCTAGCATAGTTTCATGTTACTCTGAACTCAACAGTTCTAGACTTGGATAGCCCCAAGAGGCCATGCTTTCCCTATTAACTAGAATTTGCTTAGATTACTAAAAGAAATTAATAATGTTCTAAGAAATAGAATGATTAGAGAGTTCTCCATCTCATTGCCTCTTCATATTTCCCTGTATTGCCCAACCTTTCAAACTGAAATTGGTAACAGAAGAAAAGGGAAATGTATCATTTCTTAACCTTTTGGTCTCTCCTATTCATTCCTAAGGCAAGGGTGAAGAGTGTTGGTAGATAAAGGATTAAGACTAAAAGGCTGGCACACTGGGGTACCCATCCCCAGCAGACCAGCCCATCCATAGTCTGCCAGCATCAAGGTGCTAGTCCCGCCTTCATCCAAGGAAGGAGGTAAGCATGGGCCTGTTTCTGGCCCGCCTTCTGGTGCCCTGCTCAGAGCCTCCTGAGGTTTGGGGTCAGCATACAGGGGAACCCTTCCCAGCCAAACAGCCCATCCAGAGTCTGCCAAAGTCACGGGACTAGTCCCACCTCCACCCATGGGAAGAGGAGAGCCATCAGAGTATCTGTTTGCACCCACCAGAAGAAGAACCTTGGTCCCATACCCACAAGGAGATGAAGAGACACCACTGGTACCCACTGGAAGAAGGGATGGGAAGACGACAGTATAGTAACAGAGTCAACAACAGAAATTTCAATATAACACCCCTGGAGTCTAGGCAATCAACACCAGCAAGAACTGAACACCTCAACACAGAAGAAACAGAAGAGAATGACCCTAAAACAACTTTATGAAGATGATAGAGACCATCAAACAGGTAATAAGAAAATCCCTTAAAGAAATGGAAAAAAACAAACAAAAAAATTCAAGAAATGGAGGAAAAGACAAACCAAAAATTACAAGAAACAATTCAAACAGTGCAAGAGTTAAAAAACGAAATAGAGACGATAAAAAACACAGTCTGATGGAATGATGGAAATAGAAAAATTGGGTAAATAATCAGGAACTACAGATGCAAGCATAACCAACAGAATACAAGAGACGGAAGACAGAATCTCAGGCGTTGAAGATACACTACGAGGAAATAGATTCGTCAACCAAAGAAAATCTTAAGTCCAACAAATCCCTAACACAAAAATATCCAGGAAATACGGGACACTTTGAAAAGGCCAAACCTTTTAGGTATAAAAGAAGGTGAAGAAACCCAACTCAAAGGTGCAGAAAACATATTCAACAAAATCATAGAAGAAAATTTTCCCAACCTAGAGAAAGACATGCCAATGAAAGTACAAGAAGCATACAGAACACCAAATAAACTGGACCGCAAAAAGAAATCCCCTCACCACATAATAATCAAAACACCAAATATACAGAATAAAGAAAAAATATTAAGAGCAGCAAAGGAAAAAGGCAAAGTAACATATAAAGGCAAACCTATCAGAATTACACCTGACTTGTCCATGGAAATCCTGAAAGCCAGAAGGTTCTGGATAGATATTCTGCCTACACTAAGAGACCAAGGATCCCAGCCCAGACTACTATACCCAGCAAAGCTTCCAATCACTATAGATGGAGAAAACAAGATATTCCATGACAAAACCAGATTTAAACAATACATATCTACTAATCCAGCCCTACAGAAAGTTCTGGAAGGAAAACTCCAAACCAAGGAAGTTAACTACACCCACAAAACGTAGGCAATACATAATCCCACTTTACCCAGAGCCAAAAGAAAAAGGGAGGACCTACACTCAATACCAACAACAAATCCAAAAAAACAAGAATTAACAATTAATGGTCATTAATATCCCTCAATAGTAGTACAGCAGTAGCACAAAAATAGCTGAATTAGTTCTATATAGTATTTCTACCTTGCTGATGCAAAAAATATTCCATGTCTTGCTACAAAATACAAAGTGTGTCATTTTATAAATTCCTTACAAAAGTTAAAAGTGATCCTATTCGCATTTAAGACTTGCATTGTAGCATACAAACATGAAAGGTAAAATTCCTGCTAATGACATAAATTTTTAGTGGCCCTAATAACAGCAGTAAATGGCAAAGGAAAAGCACTGTGGATGAGTCAAAAGAGAGGATGACACTTTACAGTTTAGTCCTTGTGGTGGCATTTGTTCTGCTTCCTGCATAAGAAGCCTTGAATCTTCATTTTACACTGAGCCCTACAAATTAGTTAGCCAGCCTTGAATATAGATGACTGCAAGAAACACTTGGCTTTGCCCTTCCAAGTCACCATGAATTTGTGTACCCTGAGGTATTCCTTGGAGTTGTGCTTAACAGTCATTACAGCTGGGAATTCAAAGGAGAGAGAGAGAGGATGGGAGCTGGAGAAAGGGAAAGAGGGCAAGAGACCTTCTGCAATGTCCTTGTCTCCTTGAGAGCAGCTTCTCTAGGCCCCATGAGACTGAATGTTCTTTTATGAATTAAAATGCTCCCTGCTCTCTGCCCAACTTTCTACCTCCCCTCCATACCAGGACACTTTGAGGGGAAATAAAGGCAGAAAGCAAGTCTTGAATTTAGACATGAAGTACTCATTTCATAAAACTCTCATATTCTGTGTCTTTTATTAATAATATCAGACTTTGAGATTTCAAGGTACATAAACCTAATTGCAAAACAGAGATAGAGCTAGTTGATGCTTCTCTCTTCCTGCTGCTTTCAAATAAAGGAAAACACATCAAATATGTTTGAATTTCAGGGGGCAATGTGACTTTAATCTTCATAATTTCTACATTTCCTTAAACATCTTTGGCATCTTTACATTGATAGTCCATCCTCTTTTTTGGTGGTTTGACTTTAGGAATCCATTCTGATACAGAGATACACATATATGCAAATATATTGCATATAAATGTAAATCTCAGTGTTTATATGAAGATTTCATTTCATTCAATAAATCACCCCGAAGCAACGATATTTTTCTAATAAGAACAATGACCACAAGCCAATGTGATTTAATTATTCAGTCATTATGACTTCCTTGCTTGGTAATGTGCCCAGTTGGGAGCAGTTATGTCCACTGCCAACCTTGTTACAGAAAAACATTTGACACCTACATAAGCCTTCCCTGCTGCAGCTTTGGTTTTTTGATGGGCCCCAGTCTCCAGTGCTGAAGCCATCACATCACCCTGATCAGCTATATCTTCTCAGCCTGTCAGGGCCTTGAAACCCAATAGTGATAAACTGAAGAATCTGATGCCCTCAGGCATGTTTTGCTGAAGTGAATGGATTAACAGTGTAAGCTGCATTTTTGGAGATGTCAACCAGCAACAGTGATAGATGGAAATCCCAATGGGGTCAATTCAATATCTTATCTCATAAAGTGGATAAGTTGTATTAGCAAAGGTGGAAGTGAAAAATAAATAAATGGAAAGGGAATTCTTTCTCTCTCTCTTTTAGGTGTCTGTTATGTTTTCTCACAAACTCATTTTATTTCACTGTTTCCCCATTGCAGAACCACTTATCACCTGTTCCAGACTTTTAAAGTTCCCTTTTTAAAATCAGCATATTTATGGGACGCATTCCTCACTCTGTGTGTGGGGGGGGAGAGGGAGGGAGGGAGGGAGTAGAAACAAGACATTTAGTGCAGTGCATGAAATGTCTGTGTAACATATGTAATAGATATATGCACACGCACACGTGTATGATTTCAATTCTACTCTAATAGACTGTGTTCTATTATATAAAAGAAAAGACAATTTTCTTCCAATACAGCAGATACAGTGGGGAAGGTCTGCTTTTGCACACGTCCATCCATGAGCAAAGCAGAAAGCACCTGTACTGAGCCACATGGGAGCACACAAGGTGCTCATATCCACACGCCCCAGCATGATCAACTACTTTCACTTTGTACTTTACAAGCCACACCCATAACATCTGGTGTCAAAACTTTCAACTTCAGATAACTCTCCTCAAGTATGGACACATATAAAGAAGAAAATAAAAGTAATCAATTATTCCACCACTCGGATATTAAAAAGTAAACGAACATACTCAGGACTAAAAAATTCACACTATATAGGGATATGTAAAATGGGAGTAATTTCCCCTCATCTCCACCCATTTCTTCCCAACCATGATCTATCATTCTCCTGCTATCTGCAGGCCTTATTTCCGGTATTTTTTCAAATGTCACCTTACCCATTGGAGCTTTTGAAAGACGTAGGCTGTTACCTTCTATGATTTCTTCTTTATAATTCACTGTAATACTCAGCTACTCTCCATTTTAATAGATAACCAATCTTGCCACAGAAATTGCATGTTCCATAATAAAATGGTTTTTAAATTATTTCTTTTGTTTTTTTAAAATTATAATATAATTACACCATTTCTTCTTTCCTTTTCCTCCTTTCAAAACTTCTCTATATCCCTCCTTGT